TTGTGAATTTGAGTAGCCTCTCTGGGAATTGGAAGTTTTGCTTGTGGATTAGAACCTTTATGATTAAACACATTTAGTGCTTGTTGGGTTGCGCCAGAAAAAACCTTGTACTCGTATTTGAATTTCTCCCATTGGACCTCAAGCATTATATATCCTACTAACTCTCGCTAAGAATTATCCCTTTCTTCTTTCCGAATTGGCAACCTCAATAGAGACAGTTTAGTGCATTTCCCCAAAAAAAGAAAAACGATGCTAATTTTGATAATTTTTGTAGGCAAACCTTAGTGATACAAGGGAAATTTTATTAATAGAAAAAATAAGGATGATACCTAAGAAGGAACAAGAGGGGGGAGGGGGGCGGCGATGTAATGAGCCTTACCCCTTAGATAAGACTAAGTATAATAATAAAACAAGCAATGCAAATGCATGAAGTACAATAATGAAATCAAAAGCGTTAATTATACGCTCAAATAAAGAAAGAGAAAAACTAAGCATTAGAGGAGTAAATTTGGGATTGTGAAAGCAGTGGATAGGTGAGAAAGAATCGGTTTTCAATCCAATTAGAAGACCAACCCTTTGAAACTGTAAGTTCAATAGCCAAAAATAATTGCTAAATACTCCAAGTACTTAATTTTGAAATGCATAGAAAATAAATAGGTCCATGGACAACTCTTAGAAACTTGCCCGTATAACATAAAACCCTCGCTAGATACCAATTTTCTTTAAATCAAGATGGTGAAGTCTAAAATCATAATATGGTTTTAATTGATTATATTAATTTAGGTTAGAGTGCTTCGGTTTCATTTGGGTTTGTTGTAACTCCTTCCTGTTGGAATTGGCGACCACTCCAACAATAAGGGGTGACGCATATAAGGATTTGGATAAATATCATGAAGAACCACGGTAGGATTTCTCTAAGGATTAGAACTCCTAATAGTATTAGGTTTCTCTTAATAAACCTAGTATATAAAGACATTATTCTCTTATATGAGTGATATATGAAATCATAATAAATACATTCAGTGTAATGAAAGATTTGAAAAAATATTGAAATAATATTGACTCTATTGGATGTAACTCAGATTTAGGTAAACCAGGATAAATCGCGCGTGTTTTTTCTCTTTACTATTTTGTTATTTGTGTGTGATTATTTTTAGTTTGATTCCAAACACTCTTTAATTCTTTCACTTCCTTGATCACTTATGGCACAATTTTACAAATGTATTTACTTAATTTAAGTAAATTAAGACCCCTTTGTTAATCACTTATGGAAAAACCAATATGTTGTCACTCTTTCTATTTGTAAATTAAAGGAGAATATACTTGCATTGTTATAAATATTCGAATGTATATAAATACTTGATTTGATCTTGTAGTTTAATCTAATAATTATTGTTATTCCTAAGGTTAGATTGTGGCTCTTTAAGAAAATATCCTAGTGTCATACTTGTTCTTGGTGATTTAATCTCTAGGATTCAATTATTATTTGTTCTACAAAGATGTCACTCCCAAATATAGAATCCTAAAAATGGGGCTATATATGGGAAGAAATTCTCTTGTGTTGTGATCATCTAACCGCATGAACAATTCACAATCAAGCATTTTGAAAAGATATATTATTGCTAAGCATTCACTTTCCCTTTTTTAACATTTTAAGTAAATGTAACTATGTTGTTATTGTTGGATATGGTTTATTTTTCGCATGACCTTGATAGAGTATCGGTTTACATCGATATATTCGCATGGCCTTGCAAATATTTGGGCCTGGGTCGGGTTAGATTGGGTAAGCTCAAATGGGGTTAGGTTTTCTATTGTATACATTTTGTAATCGTGGAAAACCTAGAGTTATAAAATAAAGAGTAAGAGTGAATTGCCTATACTTTAAGATTATTGTATTTTGCAGATTTTTTAAACTCAATAAAGTACTTTATTTGAACGATGGACGTAATTCCTCTATTGGAACGAATTAGGGTAAATCGATTGTCTTTTGTTACTTTTCTACTTTTATTATTGTGTGTTTTGGCTATGGTTTCTACAGCTATGACCATGTGGAAGTTACGTAGCTTGGGTAATGAATTAGAATGTTTTATATCTTTGTTTAATTTTGATGTGCAGTGGCGAACCTGAACAGAGATGGAAGATAGTGAAGATCTTAAGAAGAAGATGGTTGGGATTCTAATATTATGCCTTCATCGGCTATATGCAAATTAATGATAACTCATTAAAGCTGTTAAGCTGACTCTATCTCCATTTTATTTTTTCTAGCTTCTCCTATTCCAGGCAGTAAAGGTTAGACTTATGATTTTTGTTGATTTATTTGATGCATTCTTTTCATGAGTTGAGGAGAAAGTTTATGAACCTTGTTACAATTTGTTGATTAGAAGATTAAGGGAAGTTTGAGTTTTATATATATTTATCCTTTAATTAAGGAGACAAATCTTTTTTTTTTTTTTTTAATTTTTGACATTTGTTTATTATGTTTGATTGCTCCATGTTGCATTTTCAAATTCATTTTCTCCAATTCCATGAAGGGAGAAGGTTGATGTTATAGTCTATATAGAGCCTTGGAGAGAATCTAAGCACATTAATCAGAATAAAAAAAATTGTCAGAGTGATGAGAAAGCGATAATTAAGAAATATGTTCATTCACGTAAGATTTTTGGTTAGAGAGCAATACTACATTTACAACCCCATCTCACAAACTTTATTTCACAACTTCGACGTGATAGCTCGCAATGAGTCTCGTCTGTCCAACAATGAGTCCGATTTACCTAATTGTGAGTTAACCAATTATAAGCTGTCACGTCAGGATTGTGAGAAAAAGTTTGTAAAATTAGGTTGTGAACCAATCTTTATTGAATTACTAATAAACCATTGACTCATATTGTTTCATCTTCTCTTTACTCTTATTAAAACATAAATATTTCTCATATCTTCTAACTCTCTTTTATAGAGTGAAATACTTTACATCAATTAATTTTACAAATTATTAAATGAAAAACTATACATTATTATCTATATTTAAATTTTTATCATTATTGTTTCAGTTGAATATTAGTTTTATTGTATTATTATTCAATGTTATTCTCAACCGATTTTTTGACCTTTTTATTATCATTTTGAATCATCTCAATGTAATACATGCCTCAATTAATTAGAAAAAATTGGATCATACATATGTAGTTCAATATATATTAATTAAACGAAAATTAGATTATTTTATTCGCACTAATCTTAATTAATTAAGAGGCGTGATCATTGTCTTTTGTAAATTAATTATAATTAGACCACATATATTGTGCAGGCCATGCGAGGCACGTGATTTGTTTTTCCCCTCGATATGCTCGAGGAAATCGAATACACTTCATTACTCATGCTCTCCGCGAATAAAACGTGACGGATGATACGAAGGTCGCTTTCAATGAGCTAAAAAATCTTTAAAACGTTGTCGTTTCCTCGACGCGTGAAAAGTGTGGCGAAATCAGGTACGGGCGGAACTACATATTTTATTTTTGTTGAACTACTAGCGCTAGATTCTCGGGTGGCCCCAACTTGGTCATAAACAAATCATCACACTCAGAGTTCATCTTCGGGTTCTCCGCCGTTTGATGATTTGTGATTTGACCAGCAAATTTGAATGATAGCTTCAATGATTGGTTCTTGTTTTCCGGTTTTCTAACGGTGGAATGCCTAATAGAGCAAAGCCCACTCGCCTCTTAGCGGTGAAGAATACGGTCCAATTGAAAATATCTTATATCAGAAATTTAAATATTTGTGTATTAAAATATAATAATATATTGTCTATGTTATGTAGTAATATCTTTTCCTATTTAAATTTTTTCTTGAATATTTGAGTTATCACATCACTTTATATCAAATAAAAAAGTAATAATTCTAACTTAAGAGATAACTGCATGTGAAAAAGGATGTCGGCATAAAATACATCTCAAGTATTTTTAAAAAATTACACATACATTTTGTCAAATTTATAAATTCTAAAAAAAAATTAAGTCACATGTAAAAGGCATTTAGTAATTATTTTTAGAATTTAATTTCCTTATAATAAATTTTAAAGTGAAGATCTTAGCAAATTTGAGAAATATTTTGTAGAGTTTCTAGAATATGAATTTTGTAAACGTAAGTTAGGTATTTAAATGAATATTTATTTAAAAACTACTCCCTTCGTTTCTCTTTAAATGTCATTTTAAGTTATTGCATGTTTTTTAATAAATTAATTTTTTAATTTAAACATTTTTTCTCTTTGCTGCTTCCTTTGAAAGTGCGTGGAAAATGACAATGATGATTGATAGAAAATAAATGACTTTTAAAGAGAAAGAGAGAGAGAGAGAGGAGATGAGGGGTGAGGGAAAGAGAGAGAGCAAATAGGAGCATACTTCGAGAAAGAGAGAGAGGGTTGCATTTGGCCAAACAACATTTATTTTGGAAAAAATTTATAAGACTAAAACGACTTTTAAAGAGAAACGGAGAGAGTATTATTTAACAAATGTGTAAATCTTAATTTTATGTAGAACTTAAGAAATGAATATATAAGACTATAAATTATAATATTGGTAAAATATTTGATACTTAACATAAAAATATATAATATGAAAAACACCATCTATTATATTATTACAAGCAAACATGTGCTTGTGTTATATTATAATTTATAAATAACATAATTACTTTTTTCATAAAATATAGAACATAATTTGGACACTAAGTTTTAATTTAAAACTTATAAAATAAAATATATATAAATTAGCAAAAATATATGAAATATAATAGCTACGGTGCGAGTGGGAGTTGGAAGTATGCAGAAGAGGAGCAGAGAAGAAGTCCTCCAACTGTCTCTCGTAATTAACCACACAGTACACATACACCCACTTGTCTCTTTCCAAACTATCTCCATTCCTCTCTCCCTCTCTCTCTCTCTTAGCCGACTTTACTGTTTCTTCTTCTTCTTCTTCTTCTTCTTCTTCTTCTTCTTCTGCTCTGCTTCTCTTCTCTCAACTTTTGCTTACTCTTTCTTGACAAACTTCGGTTTCATTTAATTTTCAAATGGCCACGATTCATAACATATGCACAAGAATGTCTACGGATCGTATGCTCTCTTCGTCCAGGACTTTGAGCGATGTCTCGTTATTTGATTCTAGAATGAGGAGGAGATGTTCTCTTCAGAAGCAGAGCTTCTCCGTTAGATCGACGAGGATCACTCAGGACAATCAACAGCAAAATATTTCTTCCTCTCATAACGGTCATTTAACTCCGGTTAGTTACTTAGCTTTGTTTTTAATGACTACGTTATGATTTTGTTTTTAATTCAAGTCTGCAACTGTTAAGAATAAGATTCTAAATAACTTCTTGTTTAAATGTATATGAGTAAGTAGTTAGCTTCACTTTTTGTGCTCTACCTCTGCCTTTGCCTTTGCCCCTGACGCAGATGCAATATAGGTTTTTTTGGTTCGAGTTTGTAGTTCTACTGATAAATTAATAGGATGAATCTTGTTTATAATATATGGATTTTTTAATTTTGTTTTTGTTGGTTTAAAGATAGTTGAATGTATTCTTGGTTGGGAGGGAATTGTGTTGTTTGTGAAGTTGTAATAGAACTTGATAAACTTTGGTGATCTGTATATGAATATGCAATTTGGTGTAGTTGGGTGCTTTATATTATTTGAGGCTTGAAATTGTTGAGACATGGATTGGCCGAACTAGAGAAGTATTGGAAGCATTTTCCTGAATTAGAAAGGACTTATGATAACCAACTTGATTCACAAGTTGCATTAATTGCTTAGAAAAGGTTTTTGGCTAGAATTTTTTCCTAAGGGTGTTTCAACTCATTAGGAAATCTTTTATTGAAATTGGAATAAACTAACCACATTACATATGTGGAAAACTCATAATATGGTTCAATTGCTTATAATTTAGTGGTTACAAATTCAATAATACTACACTTACAAAGAACTTTTACAAAGATTTTCATACAAAGTGAAGTGGTAAAAAATGAATAGAAGAGTAAAACAAAAAGTCAAACTCATTATATTCACTCTTCTATTTATTTTTTGCCACATCAGTCTATATAGAGATTTTTGTAAGATTTATTTGTAAGTATAGCATTACTCTTACAAAATACCATGTGGAAAAGATATTTAATATCCATTCCTTTTCTGTTTTAATAGTTTCTTAGTTAAAGCCCTGTATGTTGCTAACATATCAGAGAAATGCCAGAAAAGGTATGATTTGTTCCTAAACTCCTCTTTCATAGCTGAGCTTCTTTTAAGGTCAATTAGACTTGCTTCGAAAATCTCATCTCAGTTAATAAAACTGCACCAACTTAAATAATGATATGTTTGGTCAGCCCAGAACACTGGTTTCTATTTCCTAGTGGAATGTACTTGTTACAGTTGTGCTACAAATGGTATCTATTATGTTGTCTATTTAGATAGTTTACAATGTTCTGTTTATTACAGTTTTCAACCTTGAAGTGTTTGGCTGATTCAGGAAAAGTTGACATCTCATTTTGAGCTTCCGAATGGTGAGCGCACCCTGGGAGAGACAGTTTTAAGTCCAAATGCTCAAAGAAAAACAAAGATAGTATGTACAATTGGGCCTTCCACAAGCTCACGTGAAATGATATGGAAACTGGCAGAAGCAGGAATGAATGTGGCACGCTTAAATATGTCACATGGAGACCATGCATCACACCAGAAAACTATTGATCTCGTTAAAGAATACAATTCTCAATTTGAAGATAAGGTTATAGCCATAATGCTGGACACCAAGGTATTTATTATGGGATCTTCACCCATTCATTTCTATTGTGTTAGAAGTGTGAAAAACTATATGTTGATAGTTGTTGCACGTGGAGCTACAATGTGCTTATTGTTTGAAGTGATTGAAGTTGATTCAAAATATCACATATGCAACATTGTAATATATTGGAAGAGATGCAAGAATTGCATATAATTACACAAATTGTATCATATATCTCCTCAGAATTTGTTATTTACACCTACTATTTATTAGTGATAATTAGAATACGATGCTTTATTTTCACAAATGCAGGGTCCTGAGGTTAGAAGTGGAGATGTGCCTCAACCAATCATATTGAAAGAGGGCCAGGAATTTAATTTCACTATCAAAAGAGGCGTCAGCACGGAAGATACTGTTAGTGTGAACTATGACGACTTTGTGAATGATGTAGAGGTTGGAGACATACTACTTGTAGATGGTAAGGACTAAGTAAGATGCATATTATTGCCCCTGGATTTATGCAATTTTGTTTGGACTCCGTTTTTTTCTTATCTCATAGAAATTCTGTTTTCATGTTCTGGGTGTATAATGGGAATTAACTAATTCAGAACAACTTGAGAATTAATGTGGAAAGAGATTTTTGACCGATTAGAATAATGAAATAATGAAAATCAAACATATTTTATAGTGCATGCAATTCCAATAAATCATTGAGTAATGGAGTTGATTAAATTTCTGCACTCTCTGGTGTTTCATTTAGTTCTCTATTTATTGATTATTTGGTAAATTGTTATGTGAAGTAGCAATATTAGTGGATTGAAGTTATTTTGCTGCTGAGCTAACTGCAAGTTGTTAAATGAGGTCATAAATGGCAAAAATTGATAGCTCGGCCAGATTTTTTGTCTTTGATGTAATATGTTGTTTTCTCAAGAATAAGTGTGTTCTATTCAGAAAAAAAATATTTTTGTTATAAAAGAAACTTGATACTCTAGTGCTTTCTTATCAATGAAATCTCAATTTATATGAGGTAAAAAATTTCCTAATCTTTCATAGTTCTACTCTGGAAGAAATGAGAAGTATATTTTGTGTACTCTATTGTTGACATGTTTTTGGGAACAGAAATAGAAAGTACTGGAAAACAAGCCCATTATTCCTTTAATCTTTGATCTCGTGTTTGAAGAGTGTTCAATTTATGGTTCTTAAGGATCATAGATCACACTTTTAGTGCTTTTAAATATCCTCTCATAAAATACATCACACAAGTCTAATTTGCTTACTTGTTCACAAGACATGACCAGTTGTTTCCTGTTCCATATACTAGGTGGAATGATGTCATTAGCTGTGAAGTCAAAGACACAGGATACAGTTAAATGCGAGGTGGTTGATGGTGGTGAACTAAAATCAAGACGTCACTTGAATGTCCGTGGAAAAAGTGCAACTCTGCCTTCAATAACAGGTTTGTCTCTGTTTACGTTCTCATGATATTGACAAGAAGTTTTGCTTCTTTGTTTATATTCATTTAGAAAGTATGAAGCAAGTGTAAATGTGTCTGCCTTTTTATAGACAAAGATTGGGAGGATATCAAGTTTGGGGTGGACAACCAAGTTGATTTCTATGCCGTCTCATTTGTGAAGGATGCTAAAGTGGTCCATGAGTTAAAAGATTATCTCAAAGGTAAAGTTCTTATACCATATCCCATCAGTTATAGAATTAACAAATATAATAGTTTGTATTTGTCTTTTCCACTCTATATCTGATTGAACTGTTTTAAACCTCTAATTTAGGTTGCAATGCGGATATTCACGTGATTGTAAAAATTGAAAGTGCCGACTCTATACCAAACCTTCATTCAATATTATCAGCATCTGATGGGGTTAGTTTCGATATTCTTAACAAGTTCCTTTATAATTTCTTTTTGCTCTTCCTTAAGCATTACAGACATATAGTAATGTCAATTTAATGTCTGCATTACATATATGGATGTCTTTGTATATGTTTTTTATGCATTCATTTATATTGTAAAAACTGAAATTGCCAATGCTCTCAGATCTTCATTCAACAATAACAGCATCTGATGGGGTTAGTTATATATACATGTGTATTATGTGTGTATGAATACTATTCAGCATCTGTTTTTGGGTATCATGATGTCCAATTGTGTCTTTAACTTTTTCTTAAACCTTATAGGCAATGGTTGCTCGTGGAGACCTTGGAGCTGAACTTCCAATTGAGGATGTCCCATTATTGCAGGTAAATTGATGCTAAATTTATTNACCGATTAGAATAATGAAATAATGAAAATCAAACATATTTTATAGTGCATGCAATTCCAATAAATTATTGAGTAATGGAGTTGATTAAATTTCTGCACTCTCTGGTGTTTCATTTAGTTCTCTATTTATTGATTATTTGGTAAATTGTTATGTGAATTAGCAATATTAGTGGATTGAAGTTATTTTGCTGCTGAGCTAACTGCAAGTTGTTAAATGAGGTCATAAATGGGCAAAAATTGATAGCTCGGCCAGCTTTTTTGTCTTTGATGTAATATGTTGTTTTCTCAAGAATAAGTGTGTTCTATTCAGAAAAAAAATATTTTTGTTATAAAAGAAACTTGATACTCTAGTGCTTTCTTATCAATGAAATCTCAATTTATATGAGGTAAAAAATTTCCTAATCTTTCATAGTTCTACTCTGGAAGAAATGAGAAGTATATTTTGTGTACTCTATTGTTGACATGTTTTTGGGAACAGAAATAGAAAGTACTGGAAAACAAGCCCATTATTCCTTTAATCTTTGATCTCGTGTTTGAAGAGTGTTCAATTTATGGTTCTTAAGGATCATAGATCACACTTTTAGTGCTTTTAAATATCCTCTCATAAAATACATCACACAAGTCTAATTTGCTTACTTGTTCACAAGACATGACCAGTTGTTTCCTGTTCCATATACTAGGTGGAATGATGTCATTAGCTGTGAAGTCAAAGACACAGGATACAGTTAAATGCGAGGTGGTTGATGGTGGTGAACTAAAATCAAGACGTCACTTGAATGTCCGTGGAAAAAGTGCAACTCTGCCTTCAATAACAGGTTTGTCTCTGTTTACGTTCTCATGATATTGACAAGAAGTTTTGCTTCTTTGTTTATATTCATTTAGAAAGTATGAAGCAAGTGTAAATGTGTCTGCCTTTTTATAGACAAAGATTGGGAGGATATCAAGTTTGGGGTGGACAACCAAGTTGATTTCTATGCCGTCTCATTTGTGAAGGATGCTAAAGTGGTCCATGAGTTAAAAGATTATCTCAAAGGTAAAGTTCTTATATCATATCCCATCAGTTATAGAATTAACAAATATAATAGTTTGTATTTGTCTTTTCCACTCTATATCTGATTGAACTGTTTTAAACCTCTAATTTAGGTTGCAATGCGGATATTCACGTGATTGTAAAAATTGAAAGTGCCGACTCTATACCAAACCTTCATTCAATATTATCAGCATCTGATGGGGTTAGTTTCGATATTCTTAACAAGTTCCTTTATAATTTATTTTTGCTCTTCCTTAAGCATTACAGACATATAGTAATGTCAATTTAATGTCTGCATTACATGTATGGATGTCTTTGTATTTGTTTTTTATGTATTCATTTATATTGTAAAAACTGAAATTGCCAATGCTCTCAGATCTTCATTCAACAATAATAGCATCTGATGGGGTTAGTTATATTTACATGTGTATTATGTGTGTATGAATACTATTCAGCATCTGTTTTTGGGTATCATGATGTCCAATTGTGTCTTTAACTTTTTTCTTAAACCTTATAGGCAATGGTTGCTCGTGGAGACCTTGGAGCTGAACTTCCAATTGAGGATGTCCCATTATTGCAGGTAAATTGATGCTAAATTTATTGCACAATGCTCTATCAATTGGCTGTAATTTGTATCAAAATCCCATCATATGTTCAGCTTATCTGTCTACTTGATTAACTACTTACTTAGGTTTGTAATTAATTTTATGGTATCATACATCTAAGATTGAAATGCTTACATATATGTACAACACTCACCCAAATACATGTTAGTAAAACTACATCAAATCCTTTTTATTTACTTAATGAATCTTAAGTTGATCTACAGTGTCTTTATTTGGTAAAGAAATAAATGATGAAATTGATAAATATGTTGTCAGCTATTCTTCAGTAAAAGCTCTTGAGAGATAAAAGACTAAAGTGGTTGTAGAAGTTTAGTATGTTTTCTATTCATCATTGTAATTGAATGACTTAATGATTCAAACAGGAAGATATCATTAGAAGGTGCCGCAGTATGCAGAAACCAGTGATCGTAGCAACAAACATGCTGGAAAGCATGATTAATCATCCTACACCAACAAGGGCGGAAGTTTCTGACATAGCAATTGCAGTAAGAGAGGGTGCTGATGCAGTCATGCTTTCTGGTGAAACTGCCCATGGAAAGTAAGTGAGCTTGGCTCATATTTGGTATCTTTACAACTTTGGTTACTACCATTGTCATTGTTATTGTTACTATGCTCCCATTTATACTAATACATAAACTGTGTTTTTCTAAGTGCTCTAATGCTAAATATTTATTATTCTTCCTTTAAGACTTAATGTTATATTCTGCTTGCAAAGTGGCTTTATTGATTTTTATCTATAGAAAGAACTTTTTTTTTTTTTTTTCCTAATTTTTTATTACCACGTGACTGAAGGTATCCATTGAAAGCTGTTAAAGTTATGCATACTGTGGCATTGCGAACTGAGTCAAGTCTACCAATTAGTATTAGTCCTCCAACCGAGTCAAGTGCATATAAGGTAAGAATTTGTTGTATTTTAAGTCAATGACTGCTTTTGTTAAGCTAATGAAGTTGTTTGTTTCACCTTTTTATTTGAACTTTTAATGCTGATACTGGTATGAGAGTAATAAAAAAGGAATTCTGTCAAAAGTTGCAATTTCCCAAACACTTAATGAAGTTCCATCTGTATCCCCTTTCATAATCTGACCACTCTGAGGACATTCTTTTGCAGAGCAATATGGGTGAAATGTTTGCTTTGCATGCAACAACTATGGCTAACACTCTCAATACGCCTATCATGGTCTTCACAAGAACAGGATCCATGGCTACTCGTTTAAGTCATTATCGGCCTTCCTCTACAATATTTGCCTTCACAAATGAGTGAGTCCAATGATATTGTTTCATGTGGAGTAGTACTCTTTCAAGTTTCCTGGATCTGATTTCTTAAATATGGTGGTTTGCAAGGCTTACTTATCTGTGCTCTGTTATCTAAAATTCTGACTTTGAGGCATAGGTTTTTGGCACATTAGCCTAATAACCCATTATGAGTTGTTTGTGGGCTGATTCTTATGCTTGTAAATTGTTGTCTCATCCATATATCATTCTCTGATTAGAATCAGCCTTTAAGTTGCAGTTGCATGGAACTTCAGGTCAAAACAGTATTAACAGTTTTTGTCTTGAGACAACTTAGGCGAGTGTTATAGATTATTAACGAGACATAATTATATTGAACACATTGGCAATTGTTTCCTTTTATAAAATATTGTCTTATTATTGAAAAAATGTTTTTTGTTGTCTCATGGGGAAACCCCTTTCAGTAGTTTCTTGGTTTCGGCATACAATACATTAATGGTCAAGCAGCAATAAGTGATTTTTTTCGTTTAGGTTGTTATTTTCTGTCTAAATCAGAGTTTGTCTTCTTTCTCTGATGATTTATGATGTTCTCGTGCCCTTCACAGAGAAAGAATTAAGCAGAGGTTGGCACTTTATCAAGGTGTCATGCCCATATATATGAAGTTTTCAGATGACGCAGAGGAGACCTTCTCCCAAGCTATCAAGCTATTAAAGGTTTGCTTACATAATAATTTGTCTTCTTTTTCCGACTGGGTCATTGCTTCATGTGGTTTAACATTTTTGTATTTTCCTTGTGCTTTAGGATAAGGATCTACTGGAGGAGGGACGGCGCATTACTCTTGTCCAAAGTGGAGCTCAGCCAATATGGCGTCGAGAATCTACTCATCATATTCAAGTTCGTAAGGTTCAAGGCTGATTTTATTTCAAAGTTATACTGGTTAACTGAAATATTAATTAAAAGTCTTGAAGTTTCTTGTTATAAGTGTGAAGTATTACAGTTCTCTAAAGATTTTGTGAACCATAAACACTAATTACTTGTTGGAAATTCTTTTGTGAAAGAAATATAAAACTGATAGGATTATGTCGCAGAGGCATGCCACAACATTATCAGTTATATCTTTGTGTACGTTCATCAACGTGAAATTCACTAATTTATGAGGATCATCAAACTTCTCTGCCAACTGACAGCACAGAATTGATTACAGTTTTCTGATATGTTCTGAACAGAGCTATAATTTTATCTGTTTGTGAATGCTAAGACCAGATTTGTATTTCTTCCATCCATTTTCTTTGTTGTCGCCCCTCTCTTTACTCTTGCAGTCTTTAACGATATTTGCTAATTACTATGACCAAGGAATGCTTTTGTATTTAATTTGATTCCAACCTAATGTGCCTGCATCAGAACCCAGTAGTTGGCTTCTTGCAGTCTAAATATTGATTATTACATCTGTTTCCTTTTGGTTCGATCGAACTCCAAATTTCCACCTCAGGTCCCTTGTTATGAATTGGTCTTGCATGCTGATATTTTAGGTAGGCAATACTAATGTGTGTGAAAAATGGGTTTGAAAAAGAGCTAAAAATGGAACTAAATATCAGAGGAAAGGGGCGCTTCTATTAATAGTCAAGAGAGGAGCTCTCTTATACAGGAATTAACATTACAAACAAAGGCTATTCATCACATTAAGAACTGCCTAAAAGTGCAAGTTAACATTCCAGCAAGGAATAGAACCAGCAAACGACAATAAAGTGAGGAAGATCTAAATGACCTTTTACTAAATGTCACTCTCCTCTTCACAGCCCTTTACCCAACCCGGCTCCAAGAACCACTTTGGAGTCAGGTTTACTGCATACTGAGTGAGGAGCTTTGAGAAAAAAATAGGTTTCTCTTGCTCTTAAAGATCCCAATTTAAAGTGTTTGTGCTTCCCCCCCATCCCCCTTCTTATTATATAAGTTGGTACAATAGGGCTTTAACATTTCAGCCTGATGTTTATTATATAACATCAGACTTCATAGTTGTCTTTCTCATTGCTTTCTCCACATTTTCCTTCCAGCTTAATGCACTTGTACCACTTGGCAGAGGCGATATACACAACCAAATCTATTGTCGTTAAGCCGGCTAAGAGGAAGTAGAATCTGTCTAGATGACCCCTGTTGAGGTTTCCAGGTATCCATCCGGGCATGTGGTCGACGGTTGAGATCTTCACAACCATTGTCAATAGCAAGCTACTTACATAGTTCCCCAGAGAGATTGATGTCATACAGAGTGCACTTCCGAAACTCTTTAACCCATCTGGGGCCTGTGCATTGAAGAATTCCAGCTGACCTACATACATGAAAACTTCAGATGCCCCGATGAATGCGTACTGTGGAACTTGCCAAAAGATGCTCAAGGAGCTTGCACCTTCGCAATGTGTGCAGTCCTTGTTGGCATACTTCAGTCTGTAGCACTCGACAATCCCAGCTGCAAGCATTGCCATGATCGCTATAACAAGGCCGATTCCCATTCTCTGAAGCTCGGTTAGCCCTTTAGAGTTCTTCTTTCTTAGCTTGCCCACAAGTGGATCCAGAACTCGGCGGTAAAGGAATATGAAAGCTGCCACACTGAGAATGTCAAAGCTTGACATGCTTGCAGGTGGGATTCTGAAGTTTGACACTGTAGTTTTCATGGCTGCACCTTGCTCCACAAAAAGAGAAGCCATTTGTGTAAAGACTACTGAGTAGAGAATGGTGCAGAGCCAAATTGGCATCAGTCTCAGTATGCATTTAACTTCTTCTACTTGTGTGACGGGGCAGAGATGCCAGGGGTTGTACTGACCCGGCTTCTGCTCATCCAAATCTCTAGATGAGATAAAAGCTGCTCTATCAAGAAACCTGAAATGGAACTCATTGTTAGCTTATTATCCGATTATCATAATATTATAGCTCTCATTTCTTAGAAATGATGATTTTTATGAACTTACTTGAACCCATGCGTGTGAAGGATCTTCCTGTTACCAGCCATAGAACAATCCGTTCCGTCGATATTGTATAAATCCTCTGCTCTTGGAGGCATCTCAACCCTCCATTTCTTAGTTGCAGAAATAATGACTTGGCAAAACCTGGCGAGAGGGTTGCCGCTTGGCTTGAAGTGCCTATACCTCTTTGTTCCTCCAAGAAACAAGAGCAATGCGGCAAGAGCGGAGCCAGCTGAAACCCAGAATCCAAGTGCCCACATGCCTTCATCTTCAAAGTACCCCAATATGGTGTTGGAGAAGAGGGAACCAAGGTTCAAAGCCAAGTAAAAGTAGCTAAAGAAGGCCACCTTTGACTGCCCTTCCTTGGGGTCCTCTTCATCAAACTGATCAGCCCCAAATGTGGCTATGTTAGGCTGATATCCACCATTTCCTAGAGCAACAAGGTAGATTGAGAGATAAAATAACCCCATCTCCAAGTTCGAATGCAACCCGCATGGAGTCTGCTCATCGCCACAACCTTTCGGTCTGATCAAGAAAATGTATGATGACAGTGAAAGTGAAACCAGCCCCTGCCATTAATAAACAAATACAATTATAATCCAGAGTCTCAAAGGTTAATTGCATTGCTGGAAAATGGAACATAAAGGATTGAATGTTAAAGTCACTTACTATGACAAATATGACTTGAAAGATGGCACAAGTTTTGAATCTTCCCCAGTAGGAGTCACTTAGGAAGGCACCCACAAGAGAGAAGATGTAGACAGTTCCAGTCCATTTGCTTACATTGTTAGCAGCCTCAGCATTGTTTTGCTGCAAAACTCTTGTGAGAAACAGCACCAAGTTCACCCCAACTCCAAAGAATGCCAGGGTTGCCAAACCTTGATTCACTGTCAACAAATAGAAATACAAGTTCATGATCAGAGACTTGAGTTTTTTTTATTTTTTATTTTTCAACTTAAATTTTAAGAGATTTCTTGATTCACATGCTTATCGATAAATGACGCACGTCCATAACAAATAGAAATATAAGTTGGTTGTTTCTTGCTTCTTCCACTAATGATTTTTCTTGTCAATGGCCAACTACATATCAACAAAAAGGAGAAAAAATCATCATGCTTTTGCTTCTTTGCCTTTACTTTCCACTAAAATAAATATCATATCTATACTCTATAAAAATCTCACTTGAACTAATAAATTTAGAGAAAGATGTTCATTCATTGATTATCATCCTGATGAACCCACTAGAAAAATAAAAGAGGGAAAAAAATAAATAATTAAATTCAGCTTCAAAATCCTTTAATATATTACTATTTTGCTATACCTAAATGGCCAACAAATTACATATAGTGCACACGCATGCATATCCACAACCACACAGAAGACAAGCAACATGTGTACAATATTTTCTTTTAATTTAAATAATACAAAAGAAATTAAAAATGGGTAGAGAGAAGAGAAGAGAGCCGTTTCTAGTTTTAAACATGGTAGAAATAATTAATATTATATTTCAATTTGCAAATGTTTTGATGAATTTCTGTTGCCTTTGTTTGTCTTTATGTGTAATATACACTGAACTCTTTTGTTAGAATTCAAGGATGAAGAACAAAAAGAAAAGCAAAACCTGATATCAAGAATTTAACTACTCTAAGAAATCTTTCCAAATAGTAGATTTTCCATTAATTTGAGGCTTCCTTCTTTGTTTAATTTCTCCTTCAAAATATTATATTATATGATCTTGTTACTTTTTAAGATGACAGTAAAACACAAAATCAAGTTCTATTATATTATCGAGGGGGGATGTTTATGTTTTTGTTTTTGATATTTTCGTAACACAGGTGACACTTGGCAAGAACCCACATCATCCAAAGTGAAGCCAGTGATTACGTGTCAGAAAAGTCTTCCTCATAATGGATCCAAACCCTCTCCCTCTCTCTCTCTCAACTCTCATAAGCAAAACTCCATAACCAATAACTCCTCTCTCTCTTTCTCTCTCTTTCTAAAGCATGGTGGCGGGTACGTACGTGGCCATGGTGGCGTGGCCATTTGCAGGTGGCTAAAAAGCTCAACATGCAACAAGAGTTGAACACTTGGTTTGGTTTTGAGTTCCAAGTGTTACACATTCCCTTAGGTTAATTGATAATTGTCGTATTCTATAGTGATAGCTTATCTAAAGAACCGAAAACGAAGTTAAAAATTTGCAGAAAATCTCTCTCACTGCTCCCCCTATAAAGCCATGTGCTCACCCAAACCAATATCAATTTTTTAATTTTAGTACATCATATGTGTGTGGTGACAAGAAATTCGGTAGCTTGTTGGGACTAAGCAATAAGAATGAGATCAAAAAAAAAATATATGCCTAGCTATGAGTTCAACTGCTTTCATAATACCAGAAGCTAATAGTACTTCTCCTGATTCTGGACCTACACAAAGCACAGGCTTTTTGATAGCGACGGGTCAAGTTGAAGGTCTTTAATTTTACCATGAAAATTTCAAAACTATATTTTATAAAGCAAGTCATGTATAGTTGACATTCAAAACTAGAATCATTTATATTAATGGAGTGAGTTAGAATAAAAAAAAGATTGATTCGGAGCTTACAAAGGATGATATTTCCAGCGAACCATCCTCCAGATTTTCCTCTGATTGCAGGGCGACCATGCCAATCAATAGTTCCGTCGAGAGTTCGAACTTCTTCTTCTTCTTTGAACTTCTCCTATACACAGAAAAAAAGAAAAATGGCAGATTAAATATATTACTCTTCGATCATCATGATATATATTGATAAAATGATTGCATTGCAAGAAAGGATCATCAAAGTCTATGCATGAAGAATAAAAAACAAAAATCTAATGTATTATTTCTTCTTTTTCCTTATCTAAAACAGCAAGTAAAAAGGATAATCGAAACAAAAAAAATGATGCTATATATACAAATAATTCCATCTTTCTGGTTGGAAGAGGCTTGACTAATTACCTGCTTACACACCTCTAAGCAAGCCATTGATATGAATCTTGAAAGAGAGAAATGTTTATTTTTTGGTAGTGTAATGCAGAAGATGAGAGATTTAAGAAGAAGGTGGTGATCAGTAGCTAAGAAGAGAGAGAGAGAGTTGGGACTTGAAAAACAAGGGGAGAGTGGCACTATAAATAGAGGTGGGGAGGATGAGATGGACGGCGGAGATTGTAGGAAAACGATAGCAAGGGAGACCCCATTGCCAAATCATCCAAAATAATAAAGCTAAGGGAGGATACCCCATTTGGCGAAATCATCCAAAAATAAATATGCAAATGTAATTTGCACATAACAAAAAAAAAATACTATTGCTCAAAGACTTTAGTGGTTAGGGGTCCCTCTCTCTAACAGTAATATCCATACTTAATTAGTCTCATTTGTATATTTGTTTGATAGTTGACATATTTGAGACACTACCTTAAATGGTTCCTACAATTTTGAGTGCCTTGCTTCATGTAAAGACTCTTCTGATTTGACAAATTTGACTGCCTTAAATGGATTTTGTTGAGGAAAACCACTTTTCTTGTAGAATCTATATTAAAAGACAAAATTTTATATGAACTAATTTCAGTAAATCAACCAGCAATGTCAAAGGTCTTCTGTAATTAATATGTATATATTAGTAAAGTTTAAATAGTGTTCTACAAGGAAAGGTAAATTTTAAACTATGAACAAGGTTTAGCCTCTACCAAGGAATAAAAAAGATGATTCTAGAGTGACAATGGATATTGTTCTCATGTGGAAAAAAAATGAATGAATATCAATCGTATGTTCGATTTTTCATTATAACATCTTTATATACTTTCCGGCTCTATTATTATGAAGGATATGATTCCATATGGATCGGGTTATATGCTGATTTCCCTGAGAAAATAATACCCTTTGTGGCAACAATTAGAGGCATATTTACTGCGTTCTATATATTAAAAAGTGTGTGAATATTAATTGAATTATGAGCTCAAATAATACACTTGTTTAAAGTCTTTATACCTCAAGTTGGTAAGAGTACATTCTTTGACACATCCAAATATAATATGCTCTATTTCTTTTCCGTTTCCAATAAGCTAGATATCTATAAAGCATTTTGGTCTGTAATTTGAAATTCCCACCATAAGTTAATTATATTATGCCTCCATCTATAATTAATTGAGAAGGACACATTGCCACAAGAAGTCAATTTTATTCTTTAATTTGTTCATGCATGCACATCTCAGTGACAAGATAAAGATAATAAGCTCAATTGTCTCCTGTGTTTGGTTTTATTTTCTTCCCATCGAAAGGACTTTATAGTTAGAATCACTAAAACTGTTGCAATTCGATGCAGAATAATTTCCAATTATAGCGACATTGCATTAGCTCACACACAGAAACAGAATAAGGATCTCTCAATAGTTAGAATTTTTGACACAAATATTCACCATGATTGAACTTTCAGGAAAAGTCCGACTAAATTAAAAGATATATTTTGCCCTTTTGTGGATTTGGGACAATTTTTTTTTTGTTTTGAGTTCACACATAAAGACATCTACTTTATTAATACACCATTAATTGTTTAATCTCTCAAATTAAAGCTTACTAAACCTTTGCTATATAACGAACAAAGATTTGACACTTCCTCTTTACTCTTTTCCCACTTTCCTTATCGCGAAAATAACTTTATTAATTCTCTTTAATTAATCTTTACCATACCTTCATATAAACCAAATTCTCAGTTACTTGAAGTAAAGAGTGCCGCAAAAATGGTTCTTTAATTCATCAACATAATATACTTAGTATAGGGAAAGTACAGGGAAATCACCATACACACGAACCCAAATGCCATCTATATATCTATATATTTATTAATTCACAAAATCAATAGTAATAGATACTATGGTAAAAGCTGCTTTATAGTGCGATAGATAAAATAAAAAAAAAAAGAAAAAAGAAAAGAAATAATAAGTTCTAGATGTGTTGGATCATCAAACTTTATAAATTCTTCACTTTTATCTTTCATCCATTAACATATGATTTCTTTTTCTTACACAGTTTTTACTGTAAAACCAAACTTTGAATTTTAGTTAGTTTTCTCTATTTTTCCAAAGTACTGAACAAAAAAGGTTCTAAAAAAGAAAAATCTGGCCATCCATTACTATATATCTTGTGAATAATTATATATCCATATAATTAAGATATTCTTGCATAAATTCCTTTATGATTTATGCTGATTCTAGATTTTTGTACTAATGAATAGCTCTCCCTCAATTTTTAGAAGAAAAGAAAAAGTTTCAAAAGTATATTTAGATTAAACACGTTATCCATGAAATTAAAGAAAAATTAATAAAAGAGTGAAAGAGGAACTGAAAATGACTATTAACTAAACTCATAATTTAGATTGATTTTAATATGTAATATGTAACAACTAAAAAGCTGAATATAGATAAGCAATGTATTTCTAAGTTCATATGTAAGAAGAAAATAATATGACGATATTTTATTATATAGTTTTCTTCCTCCTTCTTGTGCTAATTTTGTTGTTGTTTAATTGATTCGTATTTTATTATATAAACTTTTTTTTTATAAAATGAGATGCGATATTATAAATTATGTGGTTCCTTTTATCCAATATTACTGTGCAGCACGTAATTTTGTATCAAAGAATTTATTCGAAGTAGTTTATAAATGTAGAATTATATTAGTTTTAAAGTTTTTCCATTAGAGGGATTCATTTTAGGGAGAGAGAGGCAGAGTTAGCTAGCACCATTGAAATTTTGGCCTACGTACATCAAGTTGGATAGATAGATCAGACGTTTAATTAGAACCACAAAATGAAACTCTTTTTGTAGCATCAGTATCGATCATCATGGATGATGAATGAATGAATTCTACATACAGCTCACGACAGAAGAGATATGTTCTTTCAATTCCAATTATTCCATTTTCATCACGTTTTCCCTCGTTACAAATAATATCAATTTAGTGCCTTTCCGATACCTTTCATGTACAAAGTTATATTATAAATTTATGAAAAAGGCTTTATTCACAGGGAAAAATCAATACAATACAACTGTTAACCATGACCTAACACTACTTTCTTGTCCCACAAACCAATAAAAAAAGAGACAGACAAAAAAATGACACAAATTACGACCATTTGTTCATCAATTTGTGGGTCACAGCTAGCTAGCAATGCGTGCATAAATCAGTTTTTGCAAATGGAATTTCTTATCAAATTTCCAATTTCAACCAATTTGCGGTCGAACAAGTTCCAACATAAAGCTTATTTACACATAGAAAAAGAAAGAAAGTAGGTGAAACTTATTACAGTTCATCTTTGATTATTTCAGTAGAAACCAACTCTGTGAGATTTTGAAACGCTATTGCTCGTATTAATCTTTATATGCATGAACTGGCTTATCAACAAGCGAAATATTAGGTTTTCTTACGCACGCTATAACCACTAAATTGTAATGCATTTTCAACTAAAAGGCGAGGTTCATTTTTTTTATATAATATGATTGCTTATCAGCTGCAGACATGTCTCCAATTGTCTCTCTTTCTCTTTTATTTAACTCTAAAGTCTTCCAAGAGTCAGATTCCACTAAGGTTTTGATATAAACACATCAACGTCGTTACCAAATTAATGGGGATATCCATTTCGTCGAACAATTTTAATGATGCATATCATCACTTGGTTCAGGTTGGCAATGACCTGTTTTAATCCATGTTTACATTCACATATCTATCAACCCATTGGCGCACTCAAACTATATAATAAATTAAGAAATTTTCTCATCCCTCCATTGACAAAATCTCTCCTCCTTCATATGTGTCCTTTGGTTCATAGGAGCAGGAGCGGTTATCAAATTCTGTTAAGTTATCGTCCAACCTAAATCCTTATTTCCTTGTATGTGTCTTTTGGTTCACAGAAACGACTCAAATTCTATTAAGCTATCACCCACTAAATTTCTTAACATTATATTAGTTTAGTAGGTCTCCTCACATAAATTGAGATTTTCTTTTTTTTTTTTTTTCATTTTATGTATCCAATTGAATGTGGAGATTCGAACTTTAAATATTTGGCTCTAATAATATGTTAACATCTCACATCAAAGCTCTAACTAGTATGTTTGGTTTAACATTACACTAATTTAATAAAGCTACTATAAATTTCACTAATTGAAGTGAAAACTTATATATCACCAGTATGTTATCAATTCTTTTACAGTAAGTCATATATGATAACAAGATCATATATATATAAAAGGGTTCATGATTATGATCCATATAAATGTTTGATTGTGATTAAGGATGGACTATATTATGTCACAAGCACTAAGGTCTAAGAATATGGCATGATCCATCTTAAAGAAAATAATTATGAAGATCATGACCTAATTTGGTCAAGCAGGGCGACTATATTAGCCACTAAAGACAAAGAGAGCCTCACACCATTGACTTGATTATATATATATGCTTTGGTTAATTTGGCACCACAAATATGCATACAGGGTATTGAAATACTAGGTTTTTAGTGTAAATATTTGGTGGGGTAAAAGCTGAATTATGTGGCAATGTTGTTTCTTGTGTGGTGAAGCTTTGTTGAGCTATATGGGATGGTGATCTGGTTAATGGACTTCGTAAAATTGCACTAAAATTTGCGCATGAGATAATGTTGGATCAGCAGACCTAATTTTCGATACACAAAGAACTACAAAAGGAAACACCACGAAAATCTTATTATTAAATGGTTGATTAAAATATGGTTTAGCTCCTAATGGAAGACAAGGACCTTGCTCTTTCTAATTAAGCCACTGAGATGGATGGACTATGGAGATAGATTAAGCATTATATAATTTAATTATAGCTTAGTCTCTCCCATGAGCTATCTTTTCATGAGTTAGGTCATCCCACAAGAGTACAAAATCTTTCTTCGGGAAATTTTTGGTTGTGATGTGACAAGCTTATCGTCAGTAGCAGTAGACTACTGTTTAAATTTACTCATTTGTCATTTACTTCTAGCCGGAAAAAGAAAATATGATTAATGCATTATGATTGTAAGAGAATAATAGAGGTGAAAAAAAAAAAGAAAATATGATTAATGCATTATGAT